TTATAACTTTATAAGCTTTTAATTTTTTAATATAACGTTTTAAACTAGTATTTAACTAATGTATTTTTAAAATGTTATAAAAAAAAGTATTACATTGTCACACTAAAAAGTAAAAAACTTGTAAGAAAATTTTAGAACATTTATAAAATATTTGATTTAAAAGTAATTGTATTAAAATTATATGAAAGTATAAAAAAAAAAGTTATATATATATATATATATATATATATATATATATATATATATATATATATATATATATATGTATAAAATCAAAATTTAAAGCATTGTATTAGAAAAATCTATAGAAAAAAATATCATGAAAATCTAATAAGAAATTATGAAAAGTATTACAAATTTTGTAAATAAATAAAATTATTCATATTTAGACAATTTTCTTCTTTTGTACACATTTAACCATTTGACTTATTAACTTTGCTCACATGTTACCATTGTAACCTTATATAGCAAGTGAAAATGATAATATATGAACAAATTTAACAAGTTAAATGGTCAAATGTATAGAAAAAAATTGTTTAAACATATACAAGACTAAAAGGTAATTGCCCTTCCAACTCATTTTCCCTTTTAAAATACAACAAACTTGTCAATATTTCATATTTCATATAATTCTATTACTCGTACTTTTTTTATAATTCAATTTTCTTCTATAATCTATTGAACTATATAAACCTCAATGAAATATTACAAAAACTAATTTATAATATTTATCTAAGAATTAGATTACTTTCATTTTTCTTATTAAATAGTTCAATTACCATTAAATATCAATATCACATGTCACAATGATAAATTTTATCAATTAAATTATATCTAAACTTATCATTTCATTCAACTCTCGCATTGTGGTTGTTGGTTGCTCTCATAGTTTTTTAGTTAATATTCTATATTCGTTTAAATTGAATATAAATAAAGAAGCAACTAAGATAATATATTAATGACTAAAATTAGACGAAAGGTCATGTGGTTTAGTTAATGTGTGTTTGATCCATAACTTAAAAAAAAAAAAAAAAAAAAATTTAAAATTAAAAAAAAAAAAAAAAAAAAAACTAGACCATCTCTATGGTTTGGTTTTGTTTCGGATTTAATCTAAATCAAACATGAAGCAAAATATGTACCCTTTTATTCATTTTTATTTTTATTGTCTTTTTAGAAAACATATTTAATAAAGGAACACATGTTGCCCACTCAATTTTTTTCTCTATTTATCTCTCTTGTAGCATGTTTTGTCGACTGAAATTCCATAGGACCTCATCCATTAACCATATTCACTGTTGACTGCATCTCCACCCACCTCCCTTCATCATCGACCTAATCTCCTCTCACATCCTTTTTACCACTACATTCTCTGATGAATGATGCACCAACCCTATTGCAACACCATACTAGAATGGCCTCAGAAAAAACATAAGTTGGTTACTCTTAAAAAAAAACATGCAACATCCAGTCAAGATTGGCATAAAAACATGTAAGTGGTTTCGTACTTCTTTTGGTGGGTTTCTACAAATATGGATTTTGTGATGGTGGTCGGAGCAAATATGGTTGAATCACAAATCAGTCAGATGTTTGTAGTTTTTTACATGTTTACAAGTATGGTTTATGTGTGTGTGGGAATTAAAAATCAAAAAAGGGTTGTGTGTGTAGATCATAAATCAAAAAAGGGATAATGAGTTTGAATTAGAAGGTTGTTAACATGATTTTACATTTTTGCAAATCTAAGTTGTGTGTGTGGGAACGATCTTGAAGGTTGGACTATCTGAAAAAATAATCTTGAACGATCTTGAAGGTGTGAAGGATCTTGAGGTTGTTACAACTGCAAAAATCTTAGAAAAATCGTAGGTAACCAAGGTTTCTTTCAACTATGACCTTGAGGAGCGGTTTCCACACTGGTAGCTAGGGGTAAACTTCCACAACAGCAAGGATGTCGATGAGAAGTGGGAATTAGGGTAACAACGTAAATGGGGAATAGATATAAAAGGGTGTGGGGTGGTGTCTATTTCTATTAAGTTTGTTATATAAGATAAAATTAATAATAAAATGAAGATAAAAGATAGAAAAGTGTGTTATGGTAATTTTATTTCTTCTTAAGGATTAAAATCACAATGAAAAAAAAGTTGAAGGATTATTAAAGTTGATAAAAATGATAGACCAAATATGCATATTACTCCAAACCATAGGTCGATATATGTAATTTACATTATACTAATTGTACATAAATAAGTCTTGAATGAGTGTTTGGATCTTGATCCGTAAAAATAGAAACAATTTCAATTATATTAAGGTCGGATTTTAGTAAGAGCATCTTTAATAGCTAAGTTATATACGACTTAAAACTATTGTTAAACCATCATTCCAATAATTTTAACCTCTAATTAAATAATTCATCAGATGGTTAACATCTTCCAATAGTATTTTTTTTTATAAAATTTTTAACTATTTTATCCATATATATCTAAAATGTTCTATAAAACCCCCTTATTTAATTATTCTTTTTAAAACACACATTGTATTTTAATTTTATTAAAAATATTATAATGCATTGTTTCAAAAGAAATATACTACAATATATCATTCAAAAAGTTAATACGAAAAAACTATTATGGAATTGTCATAAAAAATTGACAAAAATTATACAATCATTACAAATTTATATTTCATAAATGAAATGTCATTAAATATTTAATAAAAAATAATTAATTAGTAAATAAAGAAAAATTATTTAAAAATATAAAACTTCAAAAAGATAAAATGAAATATAACTAAAGTATGAGGATGTTAAATGACAAAACATATAAGTATATTAATCACTTAATATATATTTAGTTGTCAATAAAAAAACAAATAAGCTTTATACTCCGATGGTAATATATGGTTAACAAAATAAAAAAATCAATAGTAATAAACTATAGAAAAAATCCTTATTGGACATGCTCTAAGACCATATCTAAAATCATAGGATCGTGTTGTAACATTCTACGACGATCTGATTCTGCTAGTTAATTAATTAATTCGGTTTTAATTGTCTAAACCTATAAACTATAAATTTTTTGTAACATTAAAAAAGAAATTTCAAATATTAATTTAATAATCTAACGCATTGGCTTAAATTTTAGCAGAATCGAATTAAAGGTCGTTGGATACAAGGATCGTATCATAAGATTGAACAACGATTGTAGGATAAAAGTATAAAGTATAAAGTATTTCGTAACAAGAAAAATTAATCTCATATATTACTTTACTAATCTAATGCATGGCCTTAAAATTGTTTCATTTCTACTCAAAATCAAGCATTAAAATTCATCCATTAAGTTCATAAAACCGAACATTGTATATCGCATTTAGGTGGGTTACTTTGTTTTACTTCGTATTTTATCATTATTGAAAATATAAGTTTATATACATTGTGTTCTGCTTTCATTGCAATGGGCAAAAGAGATTTATGAGAAGAAGATAAAAATGATAAATTGCATCATTGAGAGACTCGTGTCAAAACGCCACAGGGCATACATGTGAGGTCATCAAAGAACATTATTAATATTAGTGCATCATTTTCTTATAATTTTTTGAACTGAAAACGAAGTCGCTTTGCCTATCGTTGTATTGGGATTTAACCCTCTCTCTTATTTGTGTTATTATTGGAATGAGGTTTTTGAAAGGGGAACGGGAAATTAAAGATCTCGCATGAACTGGAATTGGTTTGATATGCCTTTGCCATTGATAAACGGGACAAGAGGATGCTTGGTTTCCTATTGAACATCTCTCAAGTGAATGGTAAGAAGAATTAATTCCCATGTTATCAAATGATTTGTAAACATGGAAGTCTTTGTGTACATTTAAAATTTGTTTACAACAATGTCAAGTGGCTCGGTGACAGTTGTAGATGTCATTACAAGTGATATGCAAATTGTTAAAAAGTTTCTTATAAATGTATTTTTTGTAATTTTCAGTGTTCCATGCTCTAAATATTTGTTGATCGATGATATGTTCAAGGGTGTCGAATTCATATCATTGAGCTTCGTTTACACGATATAATCCTTCCTAGTTTATAACCAACTTGCCTTTTTGTAACGTCCCGAATTTAAAGGCATTTTTTTTCATTTTATTTAATTAAAACATAAGACTTACCAACCATTCTATTACATATATAATTATAAAAGATAGATTTTTAGATGAAGTTTTAAAATATTATTAATACCATCGATGCAAGTACAATCATAAGTGAGCATTTCCTCGATCCGAAGAACAACCTGAAAAACAGCTATTTAATAATTGTAAGTCGAGGCTTAGTGAATTCCCTCAAGATACCATATGTCACAATACGTATACAATGTATACACACAATGACTTTTATCATAAGGCTGGTTTGGCCCTTTTTGCCTTTAGCGTAGAGTTGGTTCTCACATTGGCCTTCATCATAACGTTGGCCCACTCGAGTCTATTGGCCTTCAACAAAAAGTCGGTCCACCCTCAACTCCCACAAATTTTATATATATATATATATATATATATATATATATATATATATATATATATATATATATATACACACACACACACACAACAGGCAAATAGTTCAACACGATAGACAACTAATTAAGCTAGTCTAGTGGCCTAATTGTATACTACAGGATAACTATATCCTAACATATAGTGGTTTCCTATTATCGACTACACTACTATTTCCTCCCTCAAACACAAAAAAAAAAAATCATAGCCCTTAGCTTCCCTAGGCTAGAACTATCTACCATAACCCAAACAGACTAACATCCAGGCCACTATCTGAGCTAACTGAGGCTGGAGTAAACCAATCATAACCTCTATAGTGGTCGTTCCTATCTTGGAGACCAACAACCCGAACTCCATCTCTCTCATATGCTACTCAAGAATCTCAATCATGATATGTTGGTATTGTACTAGAGAATGAGACTCCTCTAGATGATCATAGGTGTGGAGGATCATCATATCGTCATAATCTCCCCCTACTCTAACCCCATAACTCTACCAGCTAACATCCTGCCCTCCATCCTCAGTAAGTCGCGATCATCCTCCACCTGATGTATGTGATCCTCGTGTTGTGCAACATGCGGGACTAACAATGAGATTAGACAATCGGTGGGATTCTCCCGGATAAGATCACGCCTCAACGTCTGGAACGACTCTCCGATCTCATAAAAACCAATATTATCCTCCTGGATCATCTTTTTCACATGGGGTGTCCATTTGTGGGTGGGGACAGGTTTCTTTGATGGATTCGGGGATGATGGGTGAGGCTGCCCTCTTGCAAGATGGTATAGGAATGGATTTTCTAGGGGTAGTAATAATCATGCATCATAGGGCATGAATACTGAGAGAGGATGAGGGAAGTGGGGAAATAGTCTCTAGGGATGACTTTGACTGAGTAAGGTCCTCCTCCTAAGTCCCCTCACGATCCTGGTGGGAAAACGAATCTGGGTAAGGCAAACTATCTGCAGGTACTCCACCGATCTCATCGCCAGGCTGGTCCTCCTCACTGGGTTCTTCCTCATCTTCCAATGGCTCCTTGTCAGCCGATAATGGTTTTGGATTAGGTGTCTAAGCCCATAACTATAATTGGTATGTACTTGACCCGATAGTAGCATGGTCCTTTTGGGTTGCCTTCACCATAACAACTTGACATGATGAATTATGAAAAAGAGGTTGATAAATGATTTATTAATATATTATAAGAATAATATATTAATTGAGAAATCATATTAATTAATTAATATTGATCAGAAATTAATTTGGAATTAATTTAGTGATCAAAAGAGACTGATCAAAAGAACAGGGACTAATTATGTAAATCAGTAATAGTTGTAGTTTGGGCTAATGGACCCTACTGATAAGGGGTGGACGAAAATCTATGGGAAGCCCATAGATTTTTCATCTAAGGCCTGTCATATGGAGGTCTGTGGATTGCTTAGGGCCTAAGCAAGGGAATTAGGGTTGTCAATTAAAAACCCTAGTAGCCTCAACTATAAAAGGAACCCCAAGGCTCTTGAAATTGGCACTTAATTCCCTAGAAGAAACCCTGGACGAAATCCTATAGCCTCAACCTCTCTCTCTTGTTCATCGATTGCTAAGTGGTGTTTGTGACTCCATTAGAGGTGCAACAATTGAGGCACTAAGCTCTTGAAGGTCAAGATTAAGGAAAGGGTTACTTGTTACTACAAGCTAACAAGAAAGGTATTCTTCTAAGTTTAGTTTAATTGTTAAATCCGAAAATTGTATGCTAGATTAGGGTTCTTGATTTGGAAAATTAATTTGCATGTATAACTTAAGAAAACCCTAGATCCAAAGCAAATAGGGTTGCATGTGCACCATAGGAATGTTGTAATGCTCAAAACCCAACAACTAGAGTAGGCAGTAAAGGCATCTTCGGATCATGATCGCTCTCAATCTCGGGCGTACGTGGAACCACATGATCTTCTTCTGGATAAGGATGTGATACCCAACCCCATATGTCCTCTATATCGCTCTGATTTCCTATATAAGGCATCAAACATGTACATGTTTATGAGAAATAATATATAATACATATAACTTCCTATTATAATATATATATATATATATATATATATATATATATATATATAGTAGAGAGTAATGTATCTTAGGTAACTTTCTATATGGGTGGTATGTCGTATACCTGTCTCGATTCTTGATATCCTCAAGGTGTATCATCCTCTTGCACTAGATCTTTGTATGAGGATCTAGTCTTTAGGAAGTCAATCTATGTTACTGATCCGAAGATCCTCTAGTCGTAGTTTCCGTCCTAATCTCCTAACTAAGCATATAAAAGTATTGATCCATAAATCCTCAACCGTTTAGATTGTCAACTATGGCATCCAGGTTTAGGCGTGTGTCTGTCAAACCATAATAAAACTTAGTTTCACATTCTAGGTCTAATTGTGGAATGTCTGTAGTACTAGACTAGCTCTAAGATTCGATTTTTACCTAAAATCTTAATTTGTGATTTGAATGGATAGCTTTTATGATATATGAGTGGATTTATAAGAGTTTATAGAATTCTTTATTTTATTAGTGTTTGATTTGGGTATTTTATTAGTTCTATGTTTGTATACCTCAAGACTACAAGGATCGGCCAAGTAGAAAGAGGTGGAGGGAAAAACTATTTTAGCATATAGTCATTTTGAAATTGAGCAACCTAAACGACAAATATTTCCAGCCTTGGCACCTCTCCCGTAAGTAGTCTATCCATACAGTAATTGATAATAATACTTTTATTAGATTTAACTAATTCAAAGTTTTTAAGCCCTTGGTTATAGTCGTAGTTCCAAAAGAATTACTAGTGCGTTATAACCTGTAACTATGATAGCAATTTGTCACACTTGCGGCCGGGGCGGAAATGACGGGCGGTGCGAACGAGTGAGATTAGGCCAAGGCATACAGATATATAAAAAAGAATAACACAAGGTACGTCACAAACATTTCTTTTATTATAAGATATTCTGGGGTTACAATGTTTTAAATGTCAAGCACACTTCCTAAACATGACTCAAAACGATAAACAAACAAAACTAAACTCCAACAACTTTCTTGTAGACTTCCTCCTCCTTGACATGATTATCCTCCTCCTTGAAACGACTATCCTCTACACTCATCTCTCTGTAAATACATGTATTTTTGAAAACGTCAACATAATGGTTGTGAGTGCACAAGTTTTTAGAGTTTTCAGCTTTTATTTTCTTGTGTTAAGTTAAGAATCTTTTTTCTTTCAGAAAAACTTTTCCTAAAGTATTTTATCAACCCTAGCTTATTATCTTTTTAGGATATCTAACGATCCTATCTTATTATCTTATTAGGATATATTTATTAATCCTAATTTACTATCTTTTTTTGGATATCTAACGACCCTAACATATTTTATTTACCACTCTAAGGCGCCCCTAATGGTAGTCTGATCTCTAAGGTGATCTAATGTATTGCCATGATCCCCCATAATCGACGATGTTTGACTATTAATTTTGCCCCGCCACGACACTTATTGGACGTCGAATTGTGAATAATAGAAAGTTATCATGTCGGGATTGTAGCTAGCAATCGTAGGTGGGGTTGTCAGACCTCGTATAGATATATATACATATATTCCTAGCTCTCGCAAGATTAACGATTATAAGTATCGGGGAATGCCAAATTTAATCAAGGCCTTTGGATGAATATAAAAACTCACTAACGCATTGACCTTATGTATTTATCTTTTATCTTTTATCTTTTAAATCCTTCCTAGGGATTTCCTATAACTATCACAATATAAATCTCTTTATCTTATATTTGATAATTATACCTTTTGATCTCATAAGTATTTTGTGTGTGTGTATATATATATATACACACACACATTATGGTTATTTGAAAACATGATGTATGGGCATAGTAACTACTATGTACGGTGCGTATCCCTAAAATTGACCAACATAACTTCTAGGTACTAAGTTGTCCTAGGGATTTGGGCATTATAAAATCTAGGTATTATCTCTTCCTAGACTATCGGACATCATATCTCTTAGGTATAATATTATAGCTTACAACTAGGCGTAGTATTTATAGCTACATTATCCTAAGGCTTTAAGTTTTCTAAATGATTTGATATCTATAACTATAAATATATTTTGATAAAACCATTTGATAAGCATGTATCCCCCCTGGTAAAACATTTAAAACATTGAAATAAGGGTCGTATACCCACCCTAGTCGCGTGAAACCTTTTATTGAATTAGGCTTGGGACTCCGGGGATCGCTCCAATGGGTAGCAGCATCGAGATAGAGAGTGAGAGAGAAGTCTAAAGGTGTGCAGATCTGGAATGGCACTCCCTTCTATCTAAGCCCTCATTGTATGAATCTTGTTGTGTGTATGCTTTCAAAATTGTATACGGTTAGGGTCTTATAGCCTCAGAATGATTGATTTGGCCTTATTTCCAATTCCTTGTATGTGTAATGGTCTTAGGGTAGAGTCTGTTATTCGAAAGTATATTTGATCCTATTTTGTGTATAATTTTCATGCATAAAGCAACCTATTATGATTGAGTTCTGCTTTGATATGGATGGAGCAAATCTTAGGATTGCCTAGGATTTTGAGCTATGCGGTAGCCTGTGAGATAGGTTTTGTTTTAAGATGAATTAGAGTTATCAGGTAGAGCCTTGGGGAAGGTATAGGTTACGTGTGGAAGGTAGTATCCGGTCCGTACTACTGAAAGCACATGACCTATACCCGAACTAATGTTAGATCTGGAAGCTTTAAGGAGAACCGGTGTGGGGGGGATCCCCCTTTGGATATTTGATCATTCTGTCTTATGGTATTACATATCATTATGGTGGTTACACGACATGGAGCAGGGGGGTCAGGATCAGGATCCGGATCAGGCTACGATACCGAGCCTATTGATGAGAGGCTGCATGAGCTTATCGTAGCCAAGGTTACGAGAGGCATCCTTGACGCTACCCTAGTGATCTTTGGGACAATGAAGGAAGGGATAATGGAGATCACGGAGGAGCGGCTCAGGTATTTCTGAGCCGAGATTGATGCGGGCCAAGTTGGGGCCCGAACTCCCTCGGTCAGGGAGTTCAAGGCGTGTAGAGGGCCTGAGTTCTTTGGGGACAGGAACCCCATAGCTAGTCGACGCTGGGTGGCAGACGTGGAGAATTCCCAGCGTACGATCTTTTGCCTCAATGCAACAAAAGTCGGGTTTGCCTCGTGTATGTTGAGGGACCGAGCCAACAATTGGTGGAAAGAGGTGACTAGCTAGGTGGGAGCAGCCGTTGTGGATGAGATGATGTGGGAAGAGTTTGTTAGATGCTTTAATCTGGAGTTTGCACCATCTATTAAGGTGTAACAGTTAGTGAGGGAGTTTCAAGAGCTCCAGCAGACCATTGAGACTGTGGTGGAGATTATCGCCAAGTTTTGAGAGCGAGCACTATTGATCCCGCAGTATGCTACAGATGAGGACACGAGGAGGGCGAGGTATCATTCCATGATGAAGGATGATATCTGTGAGTTTGTGAGCTTTACAGTGTGTAAATCCCCGAGTGAGATGGTGAAGAAGGCCCGAGAGCAGGAAATGGAGTTGGAGCTTCGCACTAAGCGAAAGCCGGAGTAGGGTCAGATAGATGGAGGTCAGGCTAAAAAGCCTAAGACCTCTGATTCCTACAGTAGGGGCCAGCAGGGCCATGGCCAGTATGCCAAGTGCAGTAAGGCACGCAATGGGGCTTACCGAGCAGCGAGTTCAGGATGTTACGCGTCTGGCCAGCTGGGCCACATGAGTAGGGATTGCCCTAGGAAGGGCTAGATTTGTTTTCATTGGGACCAGAATAGCCATAAAAAGCCTGATTGTCTAAGGTTATGGGGAGGAGGAGGAGTGGTGGTGAGTCTCTTCCTGAGACCCTCTACTATACGCACCTAGCACAAACCTCTCTTCTGCTGCAAATCGATCTCGTATCTGCAACCTCTTAGAAATCATATCCTTTAGGGTCTGACACCCTGCCACGC